AGCCACTGCACTCCAGTTTGGGCGACAGAGTGAGACTCCAACTCAAAAAAAAAAAAAGTGGTGACTGCTAGGCCAGGTACAGTGGCTCACACCTGTAATCCCAGCACTTTGGGAGGCGAAGGTGGAAGAATCGCTTAAGCCCAGGAGTTCAAGATCAGCCTAGGTAACATAGTTAAGACCTTGTCACCACACACACACACACACACACACACACACACAAAATAATATTTTTTGGTGGCGGATGCCTGTAGTCCCGGCTACTTGGGAGGCTGAGGTGGGAGGATTGCCTGAGCACAGAAGGTTGAGGCCGCTGTGAGCGGTGATCATGCCACTGTGTTCCAGCCTGGGAGGCAGAATGAGATCCTGACTTAAAAGAGAAGTGGTGCTGGATTCTGTTCAGACGTTGAGGATAGCAAGAATAGGATTTGCTGCTGGATGAGGTGTAGGAAGGGGCTGGTCTGTGGTGGGTCCACCATAGGGTCTAGAGGGCACCATTTCCCGAGGTGAGGACCCAGTGTGGGCTGCGAAGCTACCGAGAGGTGGTCCAGACGAGAGGGCACACCTGAGCCAAGGAGGGTGGAGAGAAGGGATGTGTGTGTTTGGAGGGAGTCGGTGGTAAACTGGGCAGGATTCGAGAAGGAGGGACACAAGGGGACACTAAGGCTGCTCAGCATGGGACATCAGACTTCTCCCTCCCTGCCCCTGCTTTGTCACTCCCACTTCTCCTCCCAGAACCCCACGTGAGGCTTTGTCTAGCTGTGCCGACAGCTTCCCCGGGGTATCTGTCATGTGGCTGCCAGCAGGGCCCAGAGGGGCACCCGGAGCAGATGGCAGGGCGGGGGCTGGGCTGGAGCTTCCCAAGGAGGCGGTCTGCTTCTGCCTCAGTTCCTTCACGGCTTGGCCTGGGGCTGTGGGAGGCACCTCCTGGCAGGGGCAGGGGCGCCTCTGGGTATCTCCTGTCCACGAGCTGGGGACAGGGGTCGGTGAGGGGAGCATCAGGCCTCCATGACACCTCGGGAATGGTTTCTCCCCTTTTGAAAGGAGTGTAGCTGAAGGATGCAACCTACGTCCCCGCCCTCCTGTGACCCTCAGGCAGAGAATAGGGACCCACCCTTGTCAATAGCTGCTAGGTCTTCAGGGCCCCAGATGAGAATTGTCGATGTGTCACGGAAGTTAAAGCCACCTTCTGGGCTGAAAAATGACCCTAGAAACCAGAGGTTTCCTCCACTTGAAAATATGCTTCTCAATTTCCAGAAGAAACTGCATGTTAATCAGACATTAAGACAGGCTGTGGAATACTTAATGGCATAGAAAGATGTTCCTGACATACTGTTGTATGGGGGGAAATCAGGTTGCAAAATGGCGTGTGCGCCCGATCCCGAGTTTCCTCCTGGGCTCCCCACACCAGCACCCGAGGGGACGACGTTCTCGGAAATGCGAACCACGAGAGTGGTGGGGCAGCTTTTATTTTCTTCATGCTTTTTGTGCTTCCTACATTTCTCTGGGAAACATGTATTCATTCTAGAATCACACCCTCCCCCGCCCCCCAAAAGCACTGTCGACTGTGCCAATAACTTAAATTAGACAATCTGCTGCTTAATAAAAAGAAATCAATGCTCAGAATAGAAAATTTGAAAGATACAGAAGATCTCTCCATCCAGAAGCCACTACAGGAAAAAGCTATTTTTAAAGCAAAATGTTGTTTACTTTTTCCTCACTTTCTGTTCTCATTAATTCTAGAACTGGTATTTGTGGTTTTTTTTTTTTTCTTTCAGTTGGAGTCTCACTCTTTGTTGCCCAGGCTGGAGTGCAGTGGCACGCTCACAGCCACTGTAGCCTCGACTTGCTGGGCTCTGGCGATCCTTCTGCCTCAGCCTTCCAAGTAGCTGGAACTACAGACGCACGCCGCCACACCCGGCTAGTTTTTGTGATTCACTGTAGAGACGAGGTCTCACCAAGTTGCCCAGGCTGGTCTCCAACCCCTGGGCTCAGGCAATCCTCTTGCCTCAGCCTCCCAAAGTGCTGAGCCACTGCGCCTGGCCTGTGATGTTTTTAAATTTTATGAATCTTTGTCCCAGTTCTTTTTTTTTTGAGTTGGAGTCTCACTGTGTCGCCCAGAATGGAGGGCAGTGGCCGCTCCCGGCCACCGCAGCCTCGACTTGCTGGGCTCCGGCAATCCTTCCGCCCCAGCCTTCCGAGTAGCCGGAATTACAGGCGTGCCCTACCACGCCCGGCTGATTTTTTTATTTATTGTAGAGATGCGGTCTTGCTGCCCAGGCGGGTCTCGAACCCGTGGGCTCAGGCAATCCACTCACCTCGGCCTCCCAAAGGCGCGGGATTACAGGCTGAGCCACCGAGCCCGGCTATCCCAGTTCTTAACTCTTGATAAATATGCGTGTAACTATTTTTTCTCATTGAAGGGAAAAAATTAAGTGCAGTTGCGGTTAATTTGGAGCTGGGGTCTCCAGTGATGGTTCCTGCAGGTGGGGGAATGACTGCCCTCCCCCCACCCCCCGGCTCAGACCCAGAGCCGGCAGGCTGGCAGTAGGGCAGGGATGTGCTGACCCCAAGGCGGGGAAACCGTTCTCACAGGCGACAGTGAGGAGCCGCCTGAGCTGCGGGGGGCCAAGGTCAGGGATGAACTGGCCTCAGGGATGCTGCTTCCTTGTCTGAAAACTGGGGCCAATCACACATATTTTCCAAGCTCGATGAGAAATTCAAGGCAAGTACATAATCGTCAGCTCCCTTTCTAGGGTGCTGATCTTTGACCTTCCCACAGTCTGGGGACCGCTGTGGAGACTCCAGCCTGGAGGAAGCATGGAACAGAGGACTGGGGGCCCACACAACCCGGCCCCCATCTTGCCCCTAGTTATGTGACCTTGGGAACTTTCTCAACCTTGCTGAGACTCAGTTTCTACATCTGTAAAGTGAGGGTGGCAGTGTGCTCCTCACAGATTTGTTATAAAGATAAGCCGGAGAGGAACAAGGCCCACCCCAGGGCAGGTATCACGCAGCCGCTGTGAAATCTTCCTGGTGGTCCCATTGGTCCCGTGGGGCCTTCAGAGCTCAAGGAATGTCAGCTCTGAGCCAGGCCCACGGCAGGCAGGCAGTCTGCGCGGTGTCCTTTTATCTTGATGTGTCCTCCTGCCTTCTCCGAAGACGAGTCAGGTACCTGTCCAAACCTCAGACCGTGGCTGAGGCAGGATTAGCAGCCAGCTCCCTCTCTCCTCCCTGCTGCAAATGGGTGAAGAAACTGCCCCGCTGCCCCCTTGGCCATCTCAGGACAAAGGCTCCACTGGCAGTAGGTTTTCCCGTCAGGCTTTTATTATCAAGAAAGTTCCAGAGAGTCCCGGCCGCCCTTCTCCAGCCCCCGCGGGTGCTGAGCCAGTCCCAGCACTGGCCGGGTCTGTCCCGAGGGGTTGGACGGCTGGGTCAGGCACAGAGGGTCACTTCTGACAGGAATGGGATGGGCGACTTTCTCAGGGCACCGAGGGGGGCTCTGCCCGGTCTGCTCTCTCCGGAACAGTCACTTCCAGTGTTGCCTCAGGCGCCTCTTGGGACCCCTCCCTGGGTCCTCTGCACAGGTGGCAGCTATTCACAGTTGGCGCGAGATACTTTTTTTTTAATATATAAAAGCTTTTTTTTAAAAAATCAACAAAAAGTGGTGCTATCTTTAGAAACACTTCCAGCAAGATCGAGTAGTCCAGCTACAGCCTTGGCGCACCTTAACCGCTCTCCCTTCCCGGGAGATCAGGAGCTCCGGGCACCTGTCCCCTCCCTTGGCGTTTCCCCTGCATACTCCCCGCTCACGGAGAAGCCCACAGAGCGCCCCTGAGGCCAGTGGGCACTTTCCACTCTCCCAACACTGCTGAGCAACAACAAAAATCCACCCCTGCTTGAAACTGTCTGTGGTCCTCTCTGGGGGAGGAACACGGAGATAACTTTTTGGTGGTGGAAGCAGAAACCCATCGAGGCTGGTTCCCGGAGGCCTCCCCTGCGCCAGTCTGGATGAGGTAGTGTGTCTGAGCTGCAGCCTCCGAGCCAGGCGGCCTCCTCTCCTGGTCTGAGCTGGGCCACCTGGACAGGCGGGGGGCTCTCAGCAGGGCGAGTGGGTGGGCACAGTCCACAGGCCGTGCTTTGCCAGGGAGCCTCACCAGGACTGGCTGTGCATTCAAGACCCCCATCCCAGAGTCCGGACTGGGGCGGGTGGGAGGGGAGGGAGGTGCCCAAGTGGCCCGGGCAGGGGCTTCTCTGCCTGGCTCAGAGCAGTCCTTCCTCCTCCCCACGGCCCCAGCCATCTCTGCTTTGCATTTCCCAGCCCGAGTCAGAGGCACGGGGCGAAAGACAAAGCTGAGACCCGGTGGACGCCCCGCTCTTCCCCACAGTAGCTGCGACAGGCTCTGTCCCATGAACCTCAGGCCTCGCTGTAGCACTCATAGATGTTGTCCTCCATCAAAGCCACCACCTGCTCAAACTTGTGCTGCAGCTGTGTCCTCCGGGCCGTGGGGTTGGCCTCCAGGGCGGCCATGATCTGAGGGGGCAGCAGCAGAGTTGGGTGGGTCACAGCTTGGGGTGGGCCCCCGTTTGCTCTTGGAGAACACGCCCCTGAATGCGCACCGCTCACAACCAGCTGCGACACGTGAATGTCCAGGTGCCGGCACAAGCTTGCTTGAGGAAGAACCTTGCCTGCCCCAAGGGAGGGTGCCTCACCCTGGAGCTACTCACCTGCGGGCGATACCTCTTGGCGTATTTATAAATCTCGGCCATGGCCACGTTGGTGTTGAACTCGTTCTGGTATTTCTACAAGAATCAAGAAGGCCAGTGGGAGAGGGAGGGGGTTAGCCTGAAGGGCAAAGCAGGACCCACCCTGCAAAGCCAGCTGCCGCCCCCCCGCCTCCCACAGCCCCTCAAGTCCTGAGGATGGAGACAGCCTCCTGCCCCCCGAGGTCCAGCCTCCTCCCTCCTCTCCCGAAGGGCTCTCCTGCCCTCGCCTCCAGCCCGTGGGAAAGTGAGCGATGAAGCTGCAGGTGAGCGAGGGGAAGCTGCGGCCGTCCCCAAAGTGCCCTCGGTGCCCCCAGCTTGGCCTGCAGAACAGCGAGCCCCCCCCACACCCCGCACCGACCGTCTGGCTGGCCCCACAGCCTGTCAGGGCCCCTGAGCACCGCACCCGCGACTCCTCAGCCAGGTGGGCGTTCATTTCCTGCTCGCTGAGTGGTGTCATGTCCTGGATCTGCTTGTAGTAGCGCTGCACGATTTTCCGGTACTCTGGGATCTCCTTGGCATACAGGAGCTTGTTGGTAGGCGAATCCTGGCAGAGGGGAGGGAGGAATCAGACGGCCGGTGGAGAAGGGGCAGGTCTGTTTTTTTTTTTTTGGAGTTGGTGTCTCACTCTGTCACCCAGGCTGGAGTGCAGTGGCACGCTCATGGCCACCGCAGCCTTGACCCGCTGGACTCAGGTGACTCTTCCACCTCAGCCATCCAAGTTGCTGGAATTACAGGTGCATGCCACCATGCCCTGCTAATTTTTTGATTTATTGTAGAGATGAGGTCTTGCCATGTTGCCCAGGCTGGTCTCGAAGCCCTAGGCTCAGGCAATCCTCTAGCCTTGGCCACTCCCCCAAAGTGCTGGGATTACAGGCTTGAGCCAACATGCCTGATATTCTGGGCTTTCTAAATTATTATTACTTTTTTTTTTTTTGTAGATACAAGATCTCACTATGTTGCCCAGGCTGGTCTCAAACTCCTGGGTTCAAGTGATCCTCCTGCCATGGCCTTCCAAAGCGTTGGGACTACAGGCATGCGCGACCACATCCAGCCAGAAATGGCCTTTTTCTGGGTGATTCCTTATCCCTTTTGCCATATAAATGGCCTTTTGGGACCAAGAAGTCTGGGCCCTGTGGCTAAAGGTCCCCCTTCCACCAGCTTTGGACCAGGAGTTCTTGACTCCCCTACCCTCCCTCTGCCGCCCTTTTGCAAGGAAGCCTTGCCCTACTTTCCCTGGGACTGTCAGGACAAAGACCTGAAGGGGGCCTTCTGGGGAGAAGCGCGTGGGCTCCATGCCAGCTCCTCGCTCATGCAGCCCACTTGGCATCCCAAGGATGTGTCCCTGCTAGGGTTATGGGTCTCCGTAGCCGAGATTTCCGGAAGCCTGAGCTGGCTTGGTGGAACATTTCCCACCACATGCTTCTAACGCCTCAAGATGGAGAGTGCCAAGTGCACTCCCAGTTCTCTGTGCTGGGCATCCTGCCTCTGAGAGAATACGTGAGAAGCGGTGCTTTTCTCCCTCTTTCTCCCTCTCCCCCAGTCTGTCTCTGAAATGCACGGGCTGAATGCAGGGCCAGGCATGCCCTCCCGGTCCTGTAGGGCCAGCTTTAATGATACAATCTCATCACTGCTCACAGCAACCAGAGCTGTCTCTTACCTCTCTGCCTTTGCCCATGCCGTTCCTCTGTCTGGAATGCTGTCACCTCTCATCTCCACCCCGTGTGTCTCCCTCCTGAGTGCATCTCAGAGGTCCTGGTCACCTGTCACCTCTCTGCCCACCCCTTCATGGAATGCGCTGCTTGGACGGCTTGACCTCCAGGGGCTGCTGCCTGGGGCCTGGCCCGATTCTCAGACGAGGTTGCACCCGACCACACAGGTTGTCCGCGCTCACGCTGGCCTCCCCGTACTTGGCTCTCGGGCCTACATGTTCAGAGCTGGTGCAGGGCACATGAGGCCGGTGCAGCTAGTCTACAGCGACTCAGCGATTCTGATGGGAGGTGATGGCCCCTGTCTGAACGACCATCCCCCAGACTTGAGCCCCTTCGGCTTCACTTCCAGAAAGATCCATCTGAAGTCGCACTCCAGAGAGCCATGGAGTGTGCCACCCACCACCGGCACCCCTCTCCGGCCCCGCCCCTGCCCCCGGGAGCCGCTCACCTTGCCCAGCTGCAGGTCAGAGATGGAGCAGGCGTCGATGAAGGCCTGCGCAATGACCGAGAGGCAGGCGTCGATGTGGTCCGTCTTGTCGATGTCGAAGACAAACTGGGGGTTCTTCAGGATGTTCACCCAGAACCGGAGGGGAAGGCTGTGGGGTGGGGGCAACCGATGCGGCGTGAGCCCACCCTGAGGGGAGCGGGAGAGGGAAGCAGACAGCCCGGGAGAGAGAGCCGGCTTGGCCCTGGAGGGCCATGGAGCTGGGCACAAGATGCCGTCTTGGGGAAACGTGGCTTCCTCATCCCTGGCCAGCTGGGGTGGCGATGGGGCCCAAAGCCAGGTTTCCTGGAGCAAGGCAGCTGCTGTAGGGCTCAGCTAGTCCACCGGCCCCTGAAGAGCCTGGCCATTCCCTCCAGGGAGCCTCAGGCCGGGACCTGGCTCTCGTTCGAAGCCCCCCCAGCCTGCAGTGCCTGGGCAGCCCAGGCTCCTCCCCCGGCCCGCGAAGGCAGCAGGAAGTCCAGCATTAGCGCTGAGCAGCTGAGGCAGGGCTGAAGGGGGCGGGGCCTGGAGCCTTGGCCGTGTCCTCAGGAGGCCGAGAGGGTTCATAACACCCCACCCCCAGCCCAGAGCTCTGAGAAGCTCCTGCAACTGCACAGAAATGTCTGGGCTGGTGGCATTTTTTCTGCGGGTCAGGCTGAGTTTTCAGGAACTTTCTTTTTGAGTTGGAGTCCCACTCCGCCGCCTACTCACAGCCACTGCACCCTCAACCTGCTGGGCTCAGGTGATCCTTCCGCCTGTCTTCCAAGTAGCTGAAACCACAGGCACGCATCCCCATGCCTGGCTAATTGTATGTATGTATGTATGTATGTATGTATGTATGTATGTATGTATTGAGGTCTCACCAAGTTGCCCAGACTGGTCTCGAACCCATGGGCTCAGGCAATCCTCTTGTCTCCGCCTCCCAAAGTGCTGGGATTACAGGTGTGAGCCACCATGTCCAGCTTCAGCAACTTCTCGATGGGGTGGGGTGTGACCCTGGAAAGCTAAGATGTGCCTTAAAAGAGGGCTACGAACTGGGTCTGGGATTCAGATCGTGTGGGTTGAGCCGGGTTCTGCCACTCCAGGGGCTGTGGGATCGTGGGCAGGTGCTGCTTCTGTGTGAGCCTCAGTGTACTCATCTGTAAAATGGAGGGATGGTGCCCACCCCAGAGGGATGCAGGGAGAGTGATAGTAGGGGCAACACTTATATAATGCCTGTTGGGCTCACTTCTAGTTAATTCTCACAACTAAGGAGGGTTACTTTCATTGCCTAGTTTAAAGTTGGGGAACTGAGCCGGGCTCGGTGGCTCAGCCTGTAATCCCAGCACTTTGGGAGGCTGAGGTGAGTGGAT